GTTGTGACAACAGTATTTTTCTTAATGGAACTGACAAAGAAGAAATAATGAATGTAGTAAAAAATCTTACAGATAAGAGATCAAAAGACTGGGTGGACATGGATATGATGTTTGTAAAGGACATAATGAGTTATGTTATTGAGCCGTTTACATATATTTGTAATTTATCATTTTCAAAAGGAATATTTCCAGACAATATGACAATATAAAAATGGTGATAAATGTGTGTTCAATAATTATAGATCAATATCCTTATTACCACAGTTCTCAAAAATTCTAGAAAAACTGTTTGTGACCAGATTAGATAAATTTATTACTAAACAAAACTTTCTAAGTAGCAGTCAGTATGGGTTTAGAGCAAAAAACTCTACATCAATGGCTCTCATGGAAATAATGGAACAAATAACTACTGCTGTCGATCAAAAACAGTATTGTGTTAGTATTTTTGTTGATTTAAAAAAAAAGCATTTGATACTATTGACCACACTATTCTCCTTGAAAAATTAAATAAATATGGTATAAGAGGACCAGCATTACACTGGGTATCTAGCTATTTAAAAGATCAGAAACGGTTTGTACAAATAAATGGTGTAAGATCTGACCTGTGCAATATCACTTGTGGAGTTCCTCAAGGCTCTGTACTTGGACCAAAGTTATTTATTTTATATGTGAATGACTTAGTGTAAGTATCAGGACTCATCAAATGTGTCCTTTTTGCAGATGACACCACATTTTTTTTGTTTGGGTAAAGATGTAAAACGGATGTTGGAATTGATGAAGACAGAATTTGATAAAATACAAACTTGGTTTAAAATTAATAAATTATCATTAAATTTAGATAAAACTAAATACATGATATTTAGTAACAAAAAGAGAACTGTTGATGATCCATTTAGAATTGAGGGTGTTGAGATTTGTAGAGTTAATGAGATGAAATTTTTGGGTGTAATCATTGATGAACAGCTAACATGGAAAAATCACATCAATTCTGTAAGAACAAAAATATCTAAATCTATTGCAGTACTATACAAAGTCAGGGAATTATTAAATGACAAAGCTCTGTACATGTTGTATAACACAATCATTGTTCCACATTTAATCTATTGCATTGATGTTTGGGGGAAAGCGTGTAAAACATTTACAAAACCTATTTTTATTTTACAGAAAAGAGCTGTAAGAATTATCACCAGAAAACATTACAGTCACCCATCAAGCACATTATTTTATCAACTGAAGTTATTGAAGTTCCATGATTTGGTAGATTATAGTATTTTATCAGTTATGTATAGGGCTCAAAATAACACATTACCATTAAATATCCAAAGAAATTTTGTTAAAAGACAAAGTTGTTACAATCTTAAGGGGATAGAAATATTTGTCAAACCAAAATTCAGAACTAGTCTGAAGGGAAGGTCTACCTCAATCCAAGGAGTTGGATTGTGGAATGTTCTAGAGAGTGATGTGAAAAATACCAAGTCAATGTGTACATTTAAGAAAAAGATCAAAGCTGAACTGTTAAAGTATATATGAAGTAGCTTAGTGTGTGTTTTGTATTAGAATTAGAAAAATTAAAGAGTTATTCGTTTTGTTCTGTTACTTGAAGATTATTATGATTGAAACTAAATAAGTGTCTAAGATATACGCTGAACAAACGGCAAACTGTACGCTATAAGATCTGAGACGCAGGCTCAACACTAATAATGCAAGACAATACGGCGTAACAGCAGCCCGAACATGAGTCTTTGGTGAGCAGATATGAATTCAGCAGCATGGATAAGTCACATATCACCAGTTAAAAAGGCATCACAGTGATTATTCTGGTTAGAGATTCATGAGTCTAACAGCCTCAGGGTAGAAGCTGTTCCTCAGTTTA